GGCTATATCCCCATATTATAGCTGTCCAAAGTGACATGCCAAGTTTAGTGGTATATAATGTAGTACCCTTCCAAATTTAAAATGGTTAGGATTGGAAACATCATCTCCAAACTCTTCGGTTTGGTTTAGTGGTTTTATCCATTCCCACGATATCCCCATATGAAGTTAGTGGTTTTATCATGTTTTATCACCCAGAAAAAAAACAAACTCTATATATATATATAATTACCATCCACGGGGCATGACTAGTTGTTGGAATCCAAGAGTAAACATCTTGATTAATACTTTTTTTTCATAATCCATTATTATACTCAATCCAGATACCTTTGATATTACCATCTGAATTCAGATATTTGTCATCCACGGAGTTTTCTTGTTGGTTGGTATAATCCTAGAACTGGATGAAGGGAAACATCTACTTCGGAAGGGCCCTATTTGATGGTCAAAAATAAGGTGGGTAAAACAATAGTAAACCACCCGTGACTGGGAATGGTAAATGTTTAAACATACCACCTATAAAAATGGTGATGACTGGGGGATGGTGCAAATGACATTGTTTTACCCACATGTTTCCATGTTTCTTCCGTAAGGCTGTGGTGTTACTTGACCAAGCAGCAACGCTGGCGCGAGTTCCAGATGGGCAAGTTGGCCAGCACTGTCCAGCCCGCAGCCTTGGTCTGGCATGCCAAAAACCAGGAGATCACTTGGGGAAATGCCAAGCTGTAAGGCCAAGGAGGGAGGATGGTATGGATTTTATGTGTCAGACATCATCGAGGATTTCACCAACATAAGGATTCAAGCATCAAAGAAAACGGAGCCATGGATGGAGATTTGAGATGATTTAAAGCATCAAACAGAAGTGTTCAATCATCAAAAAAATGGATTTGATCATCAACATTAGGTTGACCTTTCAAAAGTAATATGGCGGGGGATACTAACAAGCTATGCATAGGGAAACTCCGGAAAATGATGATGAACTGTAGGAATTGTTCCCTTCAGACATAACATGGGGGGTCAAACCTAGAAAGTGGAGAATTATTAACGAACAAAAGTTTTGTTTTAGATACTGGGGATATCAACATACATCAACCAATAGGAATCTCAACAAACCGATAGGAATTTCAACATATATCAACTGATAAGACTGCCAATATCAGTTGATGTTTTGAACTGCAACAAATCCCAGCCCTGCTCCAATCTGTTCCATGTGTTTCCTACTTGTCCTCCTTGGGGTCCGGATGAAAGGCTATGGTTCAACGATGGGGTGTTTAGTCCATCGGTCGTTTGCAAAAGGGAAAAGAACAAATTCAACGGTCAACATCTTGTTTTCAACAAAATTATAGTGGATTATACTGTAAATTGTGTTTGCTTACTGTCGTAAATATGTGTTTTAGAATTTCTATGTAGTATAGTCTGCCATTGGGAGCGATCTCTCAACATGAAAAGAATTGATGCCGCAGGAGATTTTGTTTCTGAATGGAATTAACTCCTGGATCTTCAGTCTCTCGACCGAAAAAATGGGTGCGATAGCAATCTGGCTTAGTGCATAAAACTAAGGTAAAGATATATAGCTATGGAAAATCTATGGAAGTTTTCCACCATGAATCTAGATCAGTTCCGAACGGGACGCCATGGATCATATATATATGCTGGATCTGTTTCTGTTGCCATTTTGATGGCAAAGGAAACGACAATATTCAGTTGGAAATCAACTTTTGCCATGAAATGACAGCACGGTCATGCGGAAATTCACACGTTGAACAGAGAACTCTCCCAAAAAACGTGTTCAATTGGACCATCTTCCACTGGATATGGGTTTGGTGAGTCCTGGAGATGTCAGAGACCCTCACACTGTGTTTCTGGCAATGGAGAGCTTGTGGTATGTCCACAGTTAGTCAACTGCGGAAACCCTGGAAGTGTAGTTTCACACTCGCATATTTTGCATTATTTTGCCATGTTCATAGGGTTAAATATGAGGATATGCCATATTCATCAAGAATTGACATGTTGCATCCTTTTGCAGGGTTGCAAACACAGCGTTCCTGACTTCAGATGTCCAGCTTACAGTGGTTTGTGGTTTCCAACAGTTTGTTGCTTTCCGTCCTTAGCACTAAACAGTGAAGATTACCGGTAAGGTCTTCGATTTCTATAGGGCGAGTTGAAGCTTGGAGCCTCAGTACCACTAGTCTTGTTACCCCTCTTTTCCTCCATTTTGTTCACTCCATTTTGCAGGGAACCATGAATGTCATGCAGATATTATTTGGTATATACCCATTGCAATTTTAATAATTCTAACTATTTGTATATATATATATATTGTATATTGTAATCGAGGTTCAAGATCAATGATAGGTGATCAAGTCACTTTCCAATGTCACACTGTCCTGACGCAACTTTTGGGTATGGGTCAAGAACATTTACCTCCAAAAGGGATGGTTTAATGCTAGCAGGGACCAGCCATTTGTGGGTGCTGACCCTGCCATGGCGTGCTTGAAAATCCATCATGTTTGGATGATTGTCCAATTAAAACCTCCATCTGACTGGCTTCCTGTTGTCAAGTTTGACTACCTGAAAGTAAAAAATGATCCAACACATGTTTTTTCAGTTTGACCATATTTAACTATTAAGCATCTAACCAAACCTGAGAATCAAACCTAGGAATACACGTCATGATTTTTGTCCGTTTCGATTCGATTTTCCGAATGACTTGACCCTGCACCAGTTGTTACTGTGGTTTATCCCACTGGGTTTCAACCATCCGCAATTGGTGGTGCAGGATTTCGCTGGCCCATCCACAGTTATACCTCACCCATTGAATCACAAGTTGGAGGTACGTTGGTTTGGCATTTTTTTGGCAGCTATAGATGCTGGGGATATTCCCTAAATTTCGCAACAATTCGGCCTTAAAAAAAAGGCCATAGACCAGTGTGGATAATGAATCCCTAGAGGATGGGGCCCCAAAGTTATAAGTTGGTTTATAAACCATTATAATAACCTCCATAAACTATAGTTATATCTACCATAAACCATGGAATTCAGTCACTTACAAGGCAACTGAACGCTATCTTGGGGGCCCCATCCTGTAGAGTTACTCCCAGTCGCCGTGAGGCCCTTCTACAGCCAACTTTCGTGCCCCCAGCGTGATCACTCCTGTGGAGCAATGGGAAGCGAAACTCTCCGACGGGAGGTTTGTCTCTTGGTTGACACACTTTACAAGCTAAACAAATGTGCCAATAGATGTAAATAGGTATGAAATATATATATATATATATATATATGTATAGATAAAAAGAAAAATATCATCCAACATCCCAAAAAGATAAAACTGACAATTACAATTGTACCACATTATACCTTATAGGATATCTTGGGATATCTTGGATCGTGCGGCATTTTCTCATTCCGAAGCGAAGATCACGCGAAGAAAATTTATGATGAAATGTATCTGTGTGTTCTCTGCTTTTTGACCGGGCAATGGACATTCCTATACATTCCTTCATAGACATTGGATCGACATTGATGAGTTTCCAGAATAAAATGGGCATGTCCGATTGGTATGATTCATTGCTGAAGGACAACTCCATGTTCCAAAGCTCCAACCAAAAATCCTGGAGACAGAAGCGTTTTTCCATACAACCGGAAGATCAGGCAGATGTGTAAATAGTAGCCACAGTGATGGCTGACACGTCCCAAAATGCTGGGTGCTCCCGAGGTTTGCTGATTTCCGGACTTACCAGCAGGATTGATTGTATCACCATGTTATTGAAACTTTAATCCATTGCAGATCTGGTTGGTGGTTTCAAACGTTTTTATTTTCCATTTTATATGGATAATCCTTTCCATTGACTAATATTATTCTTCAAGATGGTTAAAACCACCAACCAGTTAATCCATTGCAGATGTATCATAGCTACTCTATATAGCTCGGTTTGCAGGTCCTTAAGATCCACAGAGTTGCGCTTGGCAAACTTTCATGGCAAAGCCTGAGGTCTGGGATGAAAAGAACCAAGAGGCGATGTTTTTGGCGCGCACCTACGGCAAGAACCCATGGGCGGAGATGTACAAAATTCGACTTCATGCGAGTGGCTGATCTTAAGTTTCATTTGGAGGTTTCCTAAGTCATGGGGGTAGCCCCAAATCATCCAAGTCACGGTTTTGGGGATTGAGAAACCACTTTTTTGATTTTCTGTGCGGCGGAACTTGAGGGACCACCAGCCTTCTCACTTGCACCTGTTGTTGCTCCACGTCGTGTCGCTGCCGCGTCTCTTGCCGTTGAATGTTCCGCGACATGTCTTCAGGTTGCCCTCAGATCTTCTGTCCGCAAGGCTCTCTTCAGAGAGAGGGCTCCGATGGACACACCATTGCAGACTGCTGCGGCAATCCTTGTAGCCGCTCGGCCAAAAAGCATGTTTTTCGTTCAAGAATTGCTCATCAAGTGTGTGGATTATGAAATGATTGAAGTGCGTGACTGATTGAAAGTATCGTGACTGTGAGTGCGTGCAATATGAATGATTCGCCAATGCGGAGTGATGATCGAATATGGCCATGTTGTGCTATGCTGAGGTGGTGTTGCCATTTCCTTCGATAAGTTTCAAATTGTGGTCATCCCATATATATATATATATATATATTTGTAGCAAGCTAGCTATATATATATATATTATATAACAGTATAGTCCAGTCCATATATATATATACCCTCTACCGGTCTGGTGCCTCTTTTGGAGGAAAGGCCATGTTTCGGCATCTGCAAAATGGCCATGTGCAAAATACGGCCCTTTGTTTAAAATACGCCCTTTGTGTTTTTGGGCAAAATTCACCATTTCCAAGTTTGTAAGGATTTTGCCTCACCCATAGTCATGCACTCCTTTTCATCGCTAGAGATGTGGCCGAGCTGATCAACTTGCCACCGATCTTGGCTGAAACCATCGCAAGAGCTTTGAAAGTGTTCACAAAGTACTGCAAAAATTAACACACATGACAAGCTATGCCTTCAAGATTTATCCAAGATCTGGATATGCATTCAGACCACGCTGGTCTGCAGCAGATTGCTTCAATGATACCTGAATTTTTATCAGGCTTCGCCACAAAATGCTTCTGTGAGCCTGCCTGACATTTGTCGACCTAGAGACCTTCGAAGGCTTTCCTATGAAATCCTCCTCCTGCTGGCATGCTGTGGCCAACGGAGAAAGAATCCATTCGCATCTGGACGACAAGCGAAGTAGCTTGAGGGCTGTATGACATAGCATGTGTGACTTTGGATAAACAGGGAATCGGCGACGGCCACTTACCAAAGTCAAGTGAGCACAAACGGCAAAATGCCCCAAGAAGGAGAAGAGCCACCGGGACACCTGCCGAGCATTTGATGCTTGCAGCCAGAGCCCATTCTCATAGAGGTAGGTGACGGCAATGTTGACCGCCTTCGTCGCAGCAGCCTCAGCAAAAGCAGGCAAGAGGAAAGGAAGAAGCCAAAAGCCTGGGAAGAAGGACCTGGAATTCCTAGACCTAAAACACACAGGGATTCAACAAACAAAGGGCTGTCACGGGGTTGCATCAAAATTCGATGGATCGGTCTGGATCACCTGTCTTTTGATATGGATCAGGAGTATGGATCGGCCTGTGGATTCGGGGTATGGATCGGGGTTTACATTTTGACTCGCATATGCAGTCCAAGAACAATTGCTTTCATCAGAGGGTCGGTCGCATCTGCAAGATGGCCTTGGCACAACCAATCCAGGAATCTCATGATTTGAACTGTGGCCATTCCCTTGTTCCATTTTGCAGCTGGGCAAGCACTGCTCATAGGCCAGCACACTGTGTCTCGTGACAACTCACTTACCCATGGCTTGGATCGCCGTGTGCGGAAAAAGTCTTGATACATCCCGGTAAGCCTTTCAAACTTTGCCTCAACAGATCTACATCCATCAAAAAGAGGCAATGGAGGGTCAGCCTCAACCAGACACACCAGAGCAGAAGATGTAAAGGACTTCAGCACCCCCAAATGCACATTGTGGAAAAAATCTGTCTCGAAGAAATCGATCGCTCGTTGGTCATCCAAATCCAAGCCTTCCAAAATGGTAGGAGCGACCTCCCACGGCAACGATGTGCCCATGGTGTCCTCCCAAATTGGCTGCATAGTCACGTCCTCATACGGCAGTGCAACACGATTGTTTCTGTCATCCTGTTCCTGGCCTGCTAGACATTTCCAACAGATTCCACGGCAGGGTTTCCTCGATGACGCTGCCTTCGGTGCATGTCCAAAGGTTCGGGTAAAACGTCCAACCTTTGAAAGGGCTGGAAGGTCACCTTTGTGGGCAAGGTGGCAGAACCAAACTTTCTCATCACCATGACCAAGACCTTCATGCAAAAGGCTTCTGGCATCAGCTGCGAATGCCGACAACAAAGTTGAAAGGGCCTCTGGGCTAGCCACATCCTTCATCATGGTTGCTATCAAGCAGTGGGTGCTCCACGTGTTCCCTACATAGTTGAGTCCCTGTGCATTCCGTCGAACAGGGGCCCGGTGCTTATTCTTCTTCAAGAAAGCCAGCGTCCCACGACCAATCACTCCATGGGTGTTTAACACCCACAGGGCCCCATCACGAAAAGTCCTTCCCTCGTCAGAATGAGAGTAATATGGGATCAAACGGTCGCATGAAATAACTCCAGCCCTCTCGAGCGAAAAAACTGGGTGTCCTGGGTCCATCCCTCGGTATCGTTCCCAAAACTCGGCTAAGACTCCTTTCATCTTCTGAAAAGTTGGAACCCCAACCATTTGACGAGGTAGCGCATGGATGTCCAACAGGTGCTTTGCCCAGCTGGATAGCTTCATCCATGGGAATTTTTTCAACTGTTTTTCTTCACCCAAATCAATCCATGAAAGTCCGATTGGGGCACTGTAACCATGTTGAACCAACACCCGCCGTGCACCAACTTCAGCATCAGCCTCCCTAATGGAAGCGAAATCCCGCATCGCATGGGATGCACGCGGATTGCTATCCACCTCATGCTTCGCGATCTGCACCACATGTTTGCAGCAGGCCTCAGAGTGCCAGGAGTGAAATCTAGAGACAGGAACTGTGAAACATGATATTGCGCAGTGAAACGCCAGGAGAAAACTGGTCAGTCTGTTTGTGTTGATATGCTCAGCACTCTTGCTTGAATCAGCCTGAATCTTTTTTTGGCACCACTCGCTATGGCTAGAATGCACTGTCAACCCACTCTACGCCGTTGGTCAGCTCGGCCACCAGTAACATAAACATAATAGGGTCCTGGGGCTCTTTCACTTCTGTTAAGGGCACCCTCACCCCCTGTACCCTCTTTGTTTCGGCATCCAACATGCTTATGAAATTCCATAACTAATGCTGCTTCCAGCATATGAATAAGATCAATGCTGGGTGAAACTGCAATGACCCACATGGCATGGAAACCCAGGTCCATGTACCCTTGGTATCGTTTGATGGGATTTGAAGTGACTCCCACCTTGAAGACGCAAATCCTAATGCCAATTTTTTGGCGGAAACATGTCACAGCTTCTGTACAATGCAGCAGGATCTTTCCGCATGTGGCTCTCGAAAACTGGGCTGGCAATAAACATTTGTTCAATAAACCAAATTTTTTGACATTTTGCCAGTCAAATGAACAGGCTGCAAATGATTCTGCCAAATCACTGAGATGTTGCCGTTCATCCTGAGCACATGCAGAGGGAGCCGGAACCCAACAATAACAGAGTAAAAAAAATCACATTCCAGTGAGTTTGACAACCGGTTCAATATTTTGATATTACCAGTTTAACCGCTTGATAACAAATTGGCTACGAATGTACCATGCTATTGATTCTAACTTACCACACTTTGCTCTGAGTAGCTGCAGTGGTGGCCACATGCGATGGAGGACAGCTTGGCTGGGCGTCTGCACTGGAAGCTGTTTCCAAAGCAGCTGAACCCCTAATAAAATAGTCCATGTAGGGTTCAACTTCTCCCGAAAGATCTTGAACTTCTCTGGTTTTTTCCAGCTTCATTTTCCTAAGTTGTTTGTTTGGACAAAGGTTTGGGAATGCAACTGGAAGTATTGCAGACTTGTTGAAGCTATCCCGGTAGATAGTTGGAACCCTGAGCAGCCAAGGCACTTTGAATATAGTTGACCATTCTCACATCCAGCGATCCGCTTTGCCCCAGTGAAGGGACACTCATAAGTAAGCAAGTCGACGAGATCTTCCATGGGGGTGAACTATGGGACTAAAAGAGAAGCATAGTCGAACACATATACTTATTGCAAATGATAATCGAGATATAGATTCCACATACCATAGTAATGCAATGGATGTAACATGCCCCTTGGCTATAATAACTATTTGTTTAAATGTGATTCCTATAGTGTTCCCAATCGAGGTTGATAACCCAGATCAAAATGTTAGGCCGGCAATATGTTTGGTTTGTGCCAGTTTTTCCCAGTGAGCCAAACTGTGGGGCCGAACAAGTAGGGCAGCTGAAACTTGAACTGCGCAATGCCCCAGGACTTCGTTGAGGCCGCGGCTCCATCTGCAATCAGTTTGGCCAAGCCCTCAAGGACAAGATCTCTGTCATTTTCACCTGGCATGGGCAATGAGGGGTGGACACTAAACCTTGTACTTCGGGATATGTATATGAAGAGAGGGGAATAGTTTTTCCATAGTTTTCCCAAATGCTACTTGCATCGCACCAGATCTGTTTTCCTACTCTCTTGCGATCATGCTCATTGATATCTCACGGTCACTGCGCTGCCGTGTGTTGCTTTCTGAGCTAACACACATTGAGTCTCACATGTAAAGGACATGGGAAATCCCACATCTTCCAGACTTCAGCCGCATCCCAAATATAAACAAAGTTTTGATTAATTAGTAAGATGCTATATATTGAAAAATGTTTTGTTTCTTGAAGTTCCAGTGGTGATCCAGGACTATGGCTGGTGGCTGGAAAAACCCAAATTTGTTTTCATCGAAGCAAATCACATACAGAATCTGATCTGCATGTGGCCATACCCGGTATCAAAATCCAAACCTAAAGAGGATTTCCCCCCTAGGTCACCAAGGCTCAGAAACTCAGGGTTCACTCATTCCCTTTCTTCACCATCTTGAGCACATTCCTGGGGCTCTGGAATGATGGATGAGTGGGGCAGTACTAATTGGGGAAACATACAGGTAATGACCAGGTGCAAACGTGTAAGCCAGTAGTGGGACACCTGTGATCATGTTGGTTTCATTGGCTAAAGTATCCAAGGATCTTAGCACCAACTTCGGTAGTGGTGACCTTCGAGCACCTAAGATGCAACATCCACTGAAGCCATTGGCCTGAGGCCAAACAGAAACCAGAAACCTGAGTGAGTGAAGTCAAGGCACACAGCTGTTGTCGCACGGATTTGCTTGTCAATCTTGTCCATCAGACTTAGTTAGATCAAGGAACTTGGGGGAATGAAACCATGGGATCGGGTCTCAAGACCCCATAGGTTCTCCAAGTATACTTGGAGGACGTAGGGATTGAACATGTTGGACATATTCAAAAGCGAACATGATCGATAGGCGATGCTGTTTGGGCATGAAATTTAATAACATTCTTTTTAAATCAAATCTCTGGAAATATAGTTCCACCAAGGGACACCTTTTGGTCAGGCTCTGGGAGGTTCTTATTGGACAAGCCTCCCACATCGATCTTGACCAACTCACAGGCCTGGAACTGGGCATCGAGGGTCTCGATGGCTTGCTCCAAGCCTTGCACAGACCTCAGCAAGGGCGAAGGAAGGAACTGGTAGGCCCCATGGGCACATGACATTACTGTTTTTTTTTGGGCATGGAAAAATAAGTGTGGGACTTTGCCACACGCTTCCCTTCAGAACTCTCAGGGTTCTTGTCCCCAAGTTCGGACTCCAATTGGCCAATCAGTTCAGATAGCTTAGAAGAACGGCTCAACAAGCTGGATGTGAACGTTGAGAATCGTTGCAACTCCTCTCGGTTTGAATGATTGGGTGGCTATAGTTATAGAGTGTGGGGGTTGCATTTTTTCATCTATGAACAATAAAGAAACTACACACGAAGATCCTTCTGCCCATGGTTGACGACCTTTGCATTGGCCTCCTTTTCATCGTCATCATCATCATCCTCTTCAGTATCATCATCCCTGGGGTTCCCAATTCGCAAGAACTCAACCTCCTGGCCATTGGCATCCTGCATGGTTTGAGGTTGGCTGGAAGAGGTGGTGGACAAGAACATGAAAGACACAGCTGGACGATTGGAAGGCACAAGGCCTCCGCAGTCTCGTGTCGGCGCTGTTCTTCGTCTTCAGAAAGATCCTCCTCCTCCTCTTGGTAAACCACATAGTAGCGCTTGAGCTTCTTGTTGTACCGGTCACGCCTTTGGGCGTTACAGCTAGGTTAGCCCCCGAAAGAACGGTGAGTCATAGAGCTTTTCCATGTTTTTAATTTAGCCCATGCAGCTATGATCTTTGAATAGTATTGATACAGTTATCCATATATTATTCATATCAATTTTGTGCTGGGGGAACCAATATTGGTATGTTATCCAAATGGTTGAACAAAGTCATACAAGGTGAGCAGGTTTAGCCAAGTGTCTTGCACAGGCGGTCGTTCCCAGTCTTTTCACAGAAATCGACAGCACACTTGATGTAGGACCTGAGATCTCAACCCATTGGGGGTTAACTTAATGTCATATGTTTGGGAAGATGCCCACTAACCAAACACACAAAAAGAACATGGAATGAACCATTGATATCATGTGAGAAGAGGGGCGTGCTCCAACCCAAAGTCTTGGCCATCTCTTCCTTTGTAAACCACCCTCGTTTTTTGCGCCGGGACAGCTTCTTGTTCTGAGAGATCACTTTGGTAATTCGGGAAATGAACATGTCCTGCATAGGCAATGTGATGGCCCATGGGACTATGAATAAAGGTTTTCATTTTTCAAAGTACGACAAATGCTGACAATCCAATTGTTTAATAAGAATGATTTAAGAATGGGTCCTTGGACCAGTTAACTTTCTCCAGCTCTTCTATCATGGCTTCCTTGTCCTCCTTAGACCCATGCTTCCAGCGTTCGTGAACGGAAGCGGGAACCTGGCATTTTCCCGACGGCTTCACTTCGCACAGGCGGCGCAAACGGTTGAGTTTGGCGCCTTCAGTTGCAGGCGGTGGCCGGTCACCAGGGGGCATAATGACCTTTTTGGCCTTCGGGTCCCCCTTTGATCCCTGAGCAGTTTGGGAAACTGGGGTAGGTGATCCCTTTTCGGGTGATGGTGCTGACACTTTCGGGGGTGGAGTCTTGAAGTTGTCTACACGCTTCGTGTTCTCCTTAAGCTGTTGCAGCTCCAATGCCATCTTTCGATTGGCCTCCAGGGCACATGTTGCAAAGTAGGTAAATAGATTGGGGTAAACAGAAGAATCAGCACACACGTGTAAAACTATGTAAAATTGGTGAAAATAAACCAGCTGATAGGCCTCTTGTAACTCCTCAATGATCTTGCTCTCGTTGGGGGGCTGTTTCCCCTTCAATCGCTTCAAGGGTTGAGGATTGGGAGACTTCAGTGGGGAAGGCTCTGGAGACTTAGGGGCTGCCTTTGCTTTGCAGCTGGCTCTGACAGGGGTAGGGACGGCTCTGGTCTTGGCGGCTGCTGCTTTGCGGGCAGCGGGAACTGGCTTATTCTTATTCTCTTTGGTCTTTGAAGAATCCTTTGCTTGGGCCAATTCTTCTTCGGTGGCCTAAGATATTTAAAAAAAAATCCTGACATCACAATATGTTGGTAGCCACTGCTAGGGGTATCCTAAACACCTCTAACCACCAATGCTTGTAGCCAAGAAGCCGGTTGGGTATCATCTGTGGGGCCAGCATTCCCAGCTGCTGCATCTGCCGAAGTAGCCTTAGATGGATTGCCAAGGCAGCAGGTTAAACAGGTGAACTTTAAACCCATCTTGCAATATTTTGGGTTATATCGTATGTCGTATGCATATCTCACCAACCCCCCTTGCAGAAAACATGAACTTCTATCTAAAGGACCTACCAATGGTGCTTTGAGTTTAGTTGTAAGCTATTTGGATTTCCTTAAGCCAAGAAACCTTGGCAACCTGTTTTTTCATGTCTTCAAGTTGTCGTTCATACTCCTCCGCTGTGCGGGCAACGCTGATGATTTTACAAGAGATTGGGTAACATCTACATATCCAACACTGGGGTGTGAAGTCCACATGATCCAGGATTATTGTAATTACTTTTCTTGTTGATTTGATTGGCCATGGTTAACATTTTGATGTTGACCATATCAAACATGATACATATAGCACCCATGGGTTGGCTCCTGAATCTTCAAAGCCAAATCATCTTCGACTTCATTTTTCACCGCTAAGAGCTTGGCCTGACCTTCCTTCAACTCACTGCATGACCATTGCTTGGACGGGACAGCCCGGGGACGCTTGGTGGTCATCCCTCCAACAACAGCAACCGGCAGGTGGTTACCTACCAGTTGCACAATGCCTGGAACCCTAATGCCTGGATCGGATGTGGGTAAAATCAGGTTTAGGCCTTGTGATTTTGATACATCCATGTAAAAAACATGTCAACATATAGTATCCATCCCAAAATCATCAAAATCCACCAAAAAAGACCCAAAATCATTCAAAATTGGACTTTTGGGGTGTTTTCCCGGGTACGGAAAAAGTACGTATTTTTATACGGGTTTTTACGGCCCTTTACGGGCAAAATACGCCCTTTGTACGGGTGGATTTTTCGGGTACGTACCAGGTACGTACCCGGTACGTATTAGTACGTACCCGGTACGTACCCAAAAAATCCTACCATAATCCCTGTAAAATTGACCTTGGGGGAGGTAAAACCCTGCCAAAACTGGTGGGAGTTGAAGTTGTTCTCATTTTTTTGGGGTTCTTGGATGGAAATCATGATACGAACAATGTTGACATCGCATCAAATAACATTTTTGATTGAAACCAACATCAAAAAACATAGCAAAAACATTGGCTCAGCACAACCACCCCTTTGGTTTCAAATAGTGATTCGATGATCCAGCATGTTTCCACGAACCAGCAATTGGGCTCGTACCTGGAAGGGTTACCATGAATTTCCAGCATTACACTGAAAGAATTAATTTACATCCTAGACCATTGGCCATGTCAAATTGTGGCTGGCTTGGTTTAACTTGTTGTTGCTATCTCAGTACCCAACACGCCAAGGTCTATGTCAACACATCAAATTAGATATGGCTTGGGAAAAGTGGCCTCCACTCTCCAAGTTCTAGGTCCTTAGACCCTCTCAAGTAGGCAAACACGCTTTGCATGTTGGCCGAATGAAAATCCCACCAATCACCCCATTCAACTTTGCTGAAAAGGGTGAAGCTATCCTCAATTGGCTCATTTGACACTGGGAGGGCCTCCTTCTTCTGGCAAAAGCGGGGATAGAGATGGACCAACCGTAATCCAAATCGAGGTGGATAGGTCCTCAGGCAACCAAGAGTTGTGGATAACGACCATATGTAATGAGTGGACTTTCAGGGGTTGAAACACAAACAAATACACAATAATACCCAGAAATGGTGTACCATTGAAAAACCAAGACAAGGATCTGCGTGTGTTTTAAGAATTTCGTTCCAACATAAGAGGTCTTACCATCTCGGCTTTTGTAGGACTTGGCTGATTTGGGAGCGTGTGCAAAGAGTCGTCGTTGCATCTCACGGGTCATCACCCCTAGGTTGAGACATTCCACCGATTTGCAATTACTCCATGCAATATGGCGCTTCATTGTTGCAGCTTTGTATGCCCCCATCCACCATGAAGTCTGGTACACCTGCCAGCACTAAACATGAACAATAACGTGTTTTGAGTTGCATGTTTTACTTATGGTGTCCGCCCAAGGTGTGTTTTCTATTGAAACCACATACCAAAACTGGTGATGACATTATCTTTAGTGGACATGCCTGGTAAAGGTTTTGGAAAACAAACAGTGCAGTTAATATGATATCTTAATATATCTTAATATTATATCTTAATATTATATCTTAATATTATATCTTAATATGATAAGGTGTGATTCTTGATATTTGATATACCTCCTGCGGGACATTCCTGGTTGATTTTTGTTGGCAACAACTGGACATTGACATGGACCCCTAGATGTTGACACAACATTGAGGGTTTAATTTGCCCAATGAGTTTAGTAGCCGGGGACACACCCATGCCAACCTTTGGAAGTGATCTCCAGAGTTGACGGATACATGGCAACCACTCCAAGGCCGAGCTCCTCGGCTGCTCCAGCACCCATGCGCCATCCATCGCAGAGATGGCAAAGATGAGAAGGCATACCCTGGGCTGCGGCTGGGGGCAATGGAACCATAACCTTTTGAAAAACAGAAAAGGCTGGGATCAATGCCCCATGGGCCCCAACAAAACATTGGTTGGTACTTCGGTCTATGTTTTTGAACCCTTTGGAACCTGTTATATTGTAACACGAAACAACTTATTGTGTTGGAATACCCCATTATACGAAGATGTTTTTGAAACAACCTTAGGGCCCCCATCTCTTAATCCCATACCAAAAATACAGCACAGGTTCCGTGCAGCTAAGCAATTGCCAATCTGCACCATAGAGAACTGGGTTTGGCCAAATGGGTCCCATGGTGCTCGCCGGTGGGTTCCAGAAGATATCGCTACAAAGCTACTGCAAATCAATCCGATAACACAGACGAAGGAACCCATTTTGCCATTCAGCACTGTAGACAATGCTAACCTGAGTTCATTAATGAATTCGAGGGCGCATAGTTGGCTAATAATTGGATTCCCTGGGGTTGATTTTGGATTGATTGCTGGGTTAAAACTTGTAAAGACAAAAGGCTTAACCCAACAAGTTATGCGAAAAAAAAATAAGTGTAAATAACCAACACAGGAAAGAAACGAGAATCCAGCATCCGATAAGAGATCCATTGCATCCTGTTTGTTGGGGCGTGGGGAACCAAAGTCCAAATCAAAGGATGCAGTTGCTAGTCCACACCCACGCATGCACCGGCTGGCCCACGCACGTCCAGCAAACAGCTCCACAAACTCGTATTTCTGCACAGCCGGGGCTGGGTACTATTGGTCATCAACTTGTTTGTTTGTTGGGCCAACTAAGGTCACAGCATACCTCAAACTGTATGAAGTACTGTATAATATGTACAAAGTAATCTATCGAATTTGGGCATGTGATTTGGATAGCTGTTGGGCTTAAAATATTTAAGAACATTTGCATCAGAATACTAGGGTAGATCCTTCCTTGGCCAACCCCACCACAAAGTTAAACATTGTTGGGTATCATGAGGATACAAAATCTATAATCAAACAAAATTGTGAAATCATTTGAACTTGGCGAACCGTCATTGTGAGAAAGTGTTGCCCATGGTGATGTTTGCCTCCCCGGCCTCTGAGAAAATTTCCACTTGGGGGTTCAAGCAAAGGAGGACGGTGCAGGCGAGCAATACCTGCAGCATGTTTCCCAGCTAAGGATTGGGTTGTAACCCTATGGCTACTTGAACAAACAAATGTTATCAATGAAATATGTTTCAAAAATCGATCCCAGCCTGTGGGGCACCCAATATTTTCATCCGGGAAAGCACAACATCCAGCTTCCTCTTCCGATCTGGGTTCATGGCTGGTGCCTAAAACCGATCAGTGCTAGTGGGGCAAAAATGGCTATGGTCCCGGGGGTACATTTGTTTTTGAAAATACATGTGTTCATCAACCCACAAAATTCTCTCCACTTGTGGATGCAGCCCTGGGTAAACTAAAGCCAGGCCAGCCAAAGTCCTCCGGTCGTCTCTCAGCAGCCATGTGGCCTGGCGAAGATGGAAATGTCACAGTGGCTCTGGATGTGTCGAATAAAAGCAATGGGGATATATTTGAGATATTATAGACATTATCCAGGGCATAACTGGGATCTAACCAACGCTGAGAATACTAAGATCATCACCCATTCACATGACTATAGTTTTTAACTATCATAATTTCAAGGGGGAGAAGCTTAAAAGAATTGAAACCAGTCCAGCCATGGGGTCCCTTTTTGATCCAAAAAATTATAAAAGGTTTCATCCCCATTTAGACTTTCTGATAAAAAATGATTGGGGCCAACCGGGGTCAACAGTGGGATAGCAACACACTCTGCGGATAAAGTTTTTCCCAACATCTTCCATAGTGCTGGCGGCAACAGCTACTGTAATCAGTTGCTGTACGGCAACCTTTTCGCAATGGATCCTTAACTTGATATCATCTTTTTCAATGCAGGAAAATGATATGGTTAATTTTTATGCGAATGAACATATTTGATGGTGACATGATGTTCCTTACCA